TTCTTTTGACTTTTAAAATTAATACTAAGGAAATAAAAAAGTTTATCAAAGGTTAGATGACCTGGATTTTTTCAAGCCCGCAGACTAAAAAGAAGAAAACAAAAAGTTTACAAAAAATATTCCTTGCGCCGTCTGTTATAATTGCATAAGAACCATTGCTGCTAAAAAGTTTAGGCTAAAAAACCTAAAATCTAGAAACATAAAGCTTCCAAGTGGTAGTCTAGATACGACCATTTTTTGCCTAAACACAACCTGTCAAAAATCCCTGAAAAATTTGGATTTTTTTCTTGCTACCTTAATTTTTTTGGGTAGTGTATACGTTGAGTTACACGAAGAAATATTTTTGTAAATTATTCTTTCGGGTCAAAAGCAATTATTTATAATGATGAATAATTCACAAATAATAGAATTATTACATGATTAAACTAAATAAGTAAACAGCATAATAGGTTATGAAGGGTGAAAACGCCATAACTATAAATCCCATTTTTGATGCTGTTCAGAGGCGGGCTGTCAGACCGATCGGTGACACTTCTCTGACGGACTGCCTCGAGATACTTTCGCATTGACGAGCCGGGTTTTCCTTAAGATACATTGTTGGCACTACTATTCGAGTAAGAATCGTGTAGCTTGTATCCAAGAGCAATAACAGAGATGGATAGATAAACAGGAAAGAAGTTGTTAGGACGGTGGCAATTGATTTAATACAGTAGATCAGATTCACAATTCTCTCTTGTAAGATGTCATGTAAATCAAGGTATTTTGTTTCTACCACGTTGTTAATGAATTGTTCGTATTGATTAATAAATTAAATTCTGATCTGTGCATTGTTGCCGTTTTCAATAATTACAACCTTTTTTTTTCGTTTTTCTGATTGCTCGTCTCGAACGGAGACTTCAACGTTGTAAATTCATTTTAATGATATTGTAATTGAAAATTATCATACCATTGTCGTTTACCTTGAAGAAGAAAATAAACATTCTCGAAAGCTCCACATAAACATAAGATAGAACGTCTTGCCTTGTGGATACATCCTCAAAATCCTTAAGCTTGTATCTTTACTACTACCATACTTTCTAGATCATACCTGTTGCTCTTCTTCTGAAGTATCGTCTCACTTCACTTAAACTTTGCGAGCTCTATTATCCGTAGAATAAACACATAAAAACTAAGCATTATTACTAGTTGAACTGTACTATAAGAACTGGTTTTTTATGACATTATATTATGTGCAGATGAAAGCCCATTATTCTCCTGGGAAAGAATTGTAAACTTCCTCTGCTCACCAACAATTATGTAGTGGATACCATCGGACTGAGAATATTCAGACTGTTTCCTATGAAGTAGACAATGCGAAAAGCTTGCGGTTTAACGGGCTGTCATATTTTAAAATTCTGAAACGCGAATGAGGATGAGGAGAGTACTTATGCTAGATGGAACAGTTCAACAAAGTAGTTTTGGATTTGAGAAAATCGTTTATATGCTTTTAGCAAGCGTTAACGTGGCTAAACCTCAGTAGAGTGTTACAATTAAGTCAGCAATTAATTAACATTGGTCAAGAACTGAATGAAATTTGATCCAAGTCTAAAACTTTACTGAATAAGAGATTTGAAATGAATTTCACATGTTAATGTTACTTGCTGCATCATTTGGGAACACAAGAACACAAGTTAAGCTTGATTTCACCCTTAAAGCATAAAGAAGTGTTAAATAAACTATTTTCCCAGAAGAAGTATCTTCTACATGATTCCATGTAAAGTTAATTACATTATTTTCTTGTAAAGGTTAGCTAATGCAGAATTATAACGACATCCTTACAGATGGAGATACTCAGATCTAGAGCTGCCGGGGGTTGTCCACAAGGAGGGGTGTTATCTCCCCTTTTGTGGTCGTTCCTGGTAGATAATCTGATTGCCATGTGAGAGGCCGAGGTTCAGGGACGGCTGGCCCTTAACTTCTGCAGAGCTGCAGAAGTGCCAAAACTTTTGTCTCAACAGAAAAAGCAGTAGTAATTTGATCATTATTTATTTTCCATGTTATCACACCAATAGAAACAATACCGGCAACGCTGCCCCCGCAAGACACGGCGTCGAGTCTGTTTTGTACTGAGAAAGCATTATAATCGACCAATTGTGTACTTGTCATTTTCGTCGCGACCGCAGCGTAACATTATTCATGGGCCACTTGAAAAGGGTCTGTGTGCTACTTCGACACAAGCCGCACGCGCTTGCTTTTGTCTCTCTCTACAAAATCAAATGCGCGATTTAAGCATAAACATGTGCTGCAAGTTATACAGATCCATACATGCGAAGTACGGTGTCTCATTGGTCGGTCGGTGCTCGATCCTTGGCGGTATTGGCATATTAGTCTTGTCGCGTGTCGTGGATTAAAAGATTATTTAGGTATTTTGGGTCTTACGTTGAGTAGCTAGTGACTCACTGACTGATTGTGGCTGTGTAGAAGGGTAGGGCAACACAATGTTTTTTTTTTTTGGGGATGGGGGGAATGGGTTTGCACCATACACCATAGCCCGAGCTACGGCGTGTGTGGAACTCCAGGTTGTCTTGAGGAGACCACCTAATACCCACTAAACCCTAACCTCCGCGTGGCCCGACTCATCAGCGTCTCGGTAGGCCATGTGTTGTGCGTGACCTGCGGTCTCCTCATGTGTTTTAGTCTCTGGGAACGCCGGGTTGGTTCCCTTTACCTCGCACATTCTATCGATGTCGTTAAGCGATCATCGATAGAGGGTCTGCTAGGTTCTCTTGAAACTCTTGTTTTCGAAAAATCAAGAGTTTCAAGTCCTCTTACCTATATATTGTTCCTGGTCCTTGTCCTGATGGGTCCTGGAGCAGGTGGGTCCTGGTCGTGGTGGGTCCTGGTCCCGGTGGGTCCTGGTCCCGGTGGGTCCTGATCCCGGTGGGTCCTGGTCCTGGTGGGTCCTCGTCCCGGTGGGTCCTGGTCCCGGTGGTTCCTGGTCCTCTGCATCCACGCCGTGGAGGGGGAAGGGGAGAGCAACCGCGGGTACTCCTAGTCAAGGTTCCAGTTAGCGTCTGCCAACTGTGACTTGGGTCTAGGGTACCTGGTTCTGCGGTTGCGAGGCCTCTCGTCTGGATCGTAGTCCATGAGGAATCGTAGCTGCTCGTTGTGGTGGTCCTGAGCTTTCTGGAATGTCTTCTCCGCTTTTTTCCTCATGTACTCGTGAATGGTGTCCCAATGCAGGTCTCTACGCAAGGTTGAGTTTCTTACGTAGGATGGTGCACTGGTGGCGATCCGGAGTAGCTTCATCTCTAGAGCAGCAAGTCGCTTGCGGCAGCTGGGGGCAGCGTACCCCCAGACCGCGGATGCGTAAGCGAGCTGAGGTCTGGCGATGGCCTTGATCAGCCGTAGCTTGGTCGCTAGCGGCATCCGGCTGTGTCTACCCAGTAATGGGTAGATTTGGGCCATGGCTGCTCTGGTCTTTGCGATGACAGCTTCTATGTGGTCTTTCCAGGTGAGGGACTTGTCAAATACGATACCCAGATATTTGACTTTGTCGCTCCGCTAGATATCTTCGTCGAAGATGGATGCTTCGAGAGGTCTTGCAATCCTTCTTCGTTTGATGTTGATGCGGATTTTCCATTTCACGCACCAGTCCTGGATGTGGTCCAGTTCATCCTGTAGTCTCCTACGGATGATCTCGGGTCGTCGATGCTTGGCGGCTATAGCAGTGTCGTCTGTATATAGGGCCAGCATTGTGTCATCTGTCTTCGGTACGTCGTGAGTGTACATGTTGTAGAGCAGGGGGGCTAAGCCTGACCCCTGGGGCTCGCTTGCTTCCAGCAGTCGTCTTGTTGAGTGGCATGTACCAATCTTCACCGTGAACCATCTTTGTGTTAGATAGCTCTGGATCAGTTGGCACATGTTTGCATCGATTCCGGCGGCTTCCATTTTGGCGATGAGTCCATCGTGCCAAACTCGATCGAAGGCTCGTTCCACGTCCAGCAGGACGAGGCCGGTTGCCTCCTGGAGATTGAAGCCACTGGTGATGTTTTCTGTCAGTCGTAGCGCTTGGAGTTCCGTGTTGTGGGAGGATCTGAAGCCGAATTGCTCTGGGGGAAGAAGTTCCAGTTCTTATGCCTGCTTCTCTAGTCGAACGGCGATAGCCTTTTCGACTACTTTGCCCATCGAGGAAACCAGGCTGATGGGCCGGTAGTTCTGGGGCAACTTCCGGTCCTTGCTTGGCTTGGTGAGCATTATAACCTGGGCTTCCCGCCACCGCCGCGGGAAGTGGTTAAGTCTCAGAGTGGCATTGGCGATGTTGGTGAGCGCAGCAATGCCTTTGGATGGAAGGTTCTTCAGCATCCTGTTGTTGATGCCGTCCCTTCCCGGCGCCTTTCTGACCTTCAACCTGCGGATGATCAGACGGATTTCCTCTGGACTGGAGGGGTGATCCGTCTCCTGGCCAGGTGGTCGTCTCCTCATGCAAGACAATGGACCGCTGCCGGACATATTTATAGAAACACAGGGCGTTAGTCGGGGCAAGGGCTATACGCGGCATTTCAGCAGGGAGATTTACACCAGAAATGACTGGATTTGTGGGTGCAACAGGAAGAATGCCCTTTTCTGCTTTCCTTGCATACTTTTCGGCGGTGACAAAGCTTGGACGTAGGTAGGTGTTACAGATTTAGTGCACCTGAGCTGCTTCCGCAAATGCTCAAGTTTGGGTGTTCTTTGGGCATTTGAAAGATATTCCGGGATTTTTTAATAATTCTCCTCAACGCGTAGAGGTACTGAACAGAAATTGTGGGGAAAAAATTCCCCAAGGAGCAACAACTCGTTGGAATTTTAATATTCGAACAATAAATGTAGTGTTTGAGAACAGAGAATCACTCATTGAATGCATGGAAGAAATAGAAGAAAATTTCACTAATGAAACCGTTTGCAAGGCAGCTTGCGGTATTCGCCGTATGTTAAACGATTCTGTTTTCGTGTTTCGGTTGACATTTTTTCATCATGTCATGCCTCACGTCGACATCTTGTTCAACCAGTTGCAGAAGAGAAAAACCGAGCCAGCGCAAGTTAGAACGGCTATCGATAATTTTGAAAAATGTATTGTCGATGTGAGAAATAAAATTGATGACATAATAAATGAAGCCAAAAATGTATTTGCACTGAACCCCAAGGCAACAAAGGGAGACGACGTAATAATAGCAGTCACGATCACCGAGTTGCCGCATTACAATATAGTGAATTCTGCAAATGACAGATTTCAATTCAAAGATCATTTGGTAGCTGCATCCCTTTTTTTCCCGAACACTTTGGAGAATACTGTGATCAGTTTCCTGATGACATGTTGGAAACTACCTGCTTGGCTTATCCCGAATTAGAAAAAAATTGTTCAAAGACATAATTGTCTGTTATTTATGCACGGAATGATTGCCGAGATTTACATGGAACACTGTCTCTTTTGAAATTTTTGATAGAAAATAGTTTGGAGGAAATACTAAAAGAAACAAAAAAGCTATTAGAAAGTATTGTTACATCAGAGGCTGAGCGGGCAGCGCAGGATCGAACTGAAATAAAAAATATCTTCTAAGTTCGGATTTGCAGAACACCTGTTTTATTTTGCCACGAGTCGCCACTGACTGAGGTACAGAACTATAATTATTTCTTCAGATAGTACTCCAAGCAGAAGACCTGAAGGATATGGGGCAAATATAAATAGGTGTGAGCCACAATATAGACCAAAGAGTCGTAGTGGAGGATCGTTATTGATGCACTCTCAAGAAACCTAACCTAAGGTTAGCTACAAGGCTTTTTTTTTAACTATGTAAATTTTTACTTAGATAAGAAAAAAATGTTCATGGTTTCCAACTTTTTACTTAAAACTCGTACAGATGTTTCGCACTGTAAATATACCAGTACACTAAAATTTTGTTCACAGCTCATCATAGGTATAAATCGTAAACGGTTCAAAAGCTGCTTAACAGAAACAAAATAATAATAATAAAGTCTTCGTCTTATCGTAGATTCAAAACTTTAGACCTCCTAGTTATACGCTTACAGGTATATTGTGTAACCCTAGGCAATATTTGGGCAGCCTCATGGAGCGTATCCAGTGAGGATTTGGTTATCCTTAAGTTGGAGGTTTAAACGGTAGAATCGGTTAGTTAAAAATTTAACAGCTGTCCTTATACTGCAAGTCGTCAGCAGGTTATAGTTAACTCACAGGTTTAACATTTTTTTATTTAGTCCACATCAATAGTTACCGTCATTGACAGACGTATTTCTACCTATTGTTATCCATTCTAATGCATCCAGCTGTTTCTCTATTTACTAAATGTTATGCTTTGAGAAGGTTTGTGTCTCTTAGATGGCACTGTCTATATGAGCAAGTATGCCCTAAAAGCTTTGACACAAAATTCATTGGTTTTAATTTAGCAAACATAAAATAATATCAAGTTACATTTGAAAACAATAGTTTGTTTACTTGCTTTACTGTCAGTTGACGTTCATTTATTTTGAAGTTTTCGCTTTAAGATGTATAAATTAGAAATAAGAAAAAGTATCTACAAGTTGATTGGGAGGGTACCTAAAGCTGAATATTTCAGAATGAAAACATTTCACGCAGCACCATTTATCGAATAATAGCGGAATGCGAGCAGGGAATACCATGTCTGAAAAAGTGGAAGACCATGTGCATTCTCTGCACAGAGGTGCGAGAGATTGATGAGAACAGCAAAAAATCGCTTAAGACTATACTTTAGCGCATATCGCAAATACTTCATTTCTTACTTTAAAATGAAGGATTAGGTTGTTACTTCTAAGAAAATATCATTTTTTCTTTAAGGAACCCTCTGCTTGATATTTTATAGAACTTCAAAGTTGCATTTTTGCTGGTTATACTCTAGTTATATACTGTCGTTTTTGCTTTTTGTACAAAAGGATACTCTAAATCAGAGTTCCCCAAACTTTTTTGTGTCGTAGACCTCTTGCCATGTTTTTCTGTGTTGGGTAGACCCCCTACTTACCTGATATTGATTTCCTGTAAATTTCTAACTCTAGTGAAATTTAGTGTTAAAAACTTAAAGTAAAAACACATGTTAATTTATACATTTATTAATTGAATTTAAATTAAAACTACTCAAAATAAAATGTTGTATCTGTTATGTAAAATATACGTAACATTAAATAAACAGGTGTCTGACCGCATTGGGAATAAGTGCCCGCATTGAAAATAAAATAAGAGGGATAAAATAAAAAAAAAAGTGAAAAACAATAAAAAAAAGTTTTTTACTTAAAATAGTACAATAAGCGAGTTCGTTTATTAATTATAACATAAACGTATGTTCTACAATAATTTCACTGTTAGTTTGATTAAATTCCGCTTCTTATACGTTTAAGTTATCTAAAAATAGGCAAAAAAATAACGAATTTTAGTGTGTACCTATCCTTGAATTTTCAGAATAATAAAAAAAAATATTTTCTATAAAGGGGGTTCTTTAAAAAAATCAATGCGGGCACTTATTTCCAATGCGGGCATTTATTGGTCAGACACCAATAAACATAAAATAAACTATAAATAAAATAACATAAGCAATAAGTCAATATTTTTAGTAGAATGATGGATGAACCTGATGCTTTAATAATAAATTATCATTTTTTTTTTGTAAGGGTTAATCTTAAATCTCCTCGGCTAATGATGTCCAGTCTGTTTCTTTTTTTCGTTAGGAGATTGGTAACAGCGCTGAACCCCCTTTCCACTAGGTATGACGATGGAAAGGAAATTGAAAATTTCCTCGCTATATTCCGTAATACGGGATAAGTAACGGGTATGTTGTTTTGCAGGCAGAATTGCTGATATCCGTTTTTAAACTGAACCTTAAGTTCTTCGTTTGTACTTAGTTCAGTCAGTTCCTCTTGTATTATGACATTTGTTTCTTCTATGTCACCATATGGATTAATTATCCACGGTGGTATTACCATACTCAAAATATCCTCAAACCTAGATTCAAAATCTGAATAGAGGGCATTTAAATGTTGAATGTAAGTCTTCCTGGCAGCTTGTCTGTGACAAATGTTGTCGTTGGATGATGCAATGTATTGCTAACACCCCTGACACATTTTGTTTTAAATAGCTTGTAAATCCACGATAACGTCCAACCATGGCAGGTGCTCCATCTGTAGCTACTGATATTATATTTGATAAAGGAATTGCTTTTTCAATGAAGTATTTCTTCAAAACATGAAATATTGATTCACCTTTAGTGTCGGTTATCAAAGTTCTTGCGAAGAGCAGTTCTTCGCAGATTTCTTGATTCATAATAAAACGAACATATGCCAATAATAATGCTGCAAGTTGACTCGTCCAGTTGTATAGAGAAATGGGTCGTTTGCAAATAATTACATAAGAAGCTTTCAATATCAGAACTCATTTCATCAATACGTCTTTCAACAGTATTGTTGCTTAAGGGAATTCTTTTAATAATATCAGATGCAGGTTTGTGTAAAACAGTTTTTAAAACCTCTTCAACGGCTGGCAAAATTAACTTCTCTCCGATAGTATGCGGTATTCCGGATTTTGCTATAAGTAACGAGATATTGCAAGACGCCCGCAAACCATCATCATTTCTTTGTGACGTCGAAGCGAACATTCTGTCCAGTGTAGGTTTCTTCTGAAATTTATCTGTGAGTGTTTGAAAGTATTTCAAATCTTTCTCTGTTTTATCAGGGTGGCATCTTGTGAGATGATCTTGCAGTTTAGATTATAGCGTCATTGCCCAAAACTTTGTTGCATAAAAGGCACATAGGCGATTGTTTGTCCGGCAATGATTTAATGAAGCCAAATTTCAAATAATCAACACTGTACTGTCTACATTGCTTTTTAGATTCGGACATCGCATCAGTCATCTGTGGGCAAAATTAAATTATTTAAATAAGACAGAAAATCCAGCAGCTGTATATTAAAAATATTTTTTGATTTTTCCGAAAACATTCCATAATTCGAACATCTTCTTGCAACAATTAGCTCGAATTACGGAGATTGCACTGTAATTATATTACCGATTGCTAAAACTTTCAAAAAGAAACTATTGAGGAGTACTCGTGTAATTTTGCATGACTGAATATTTAACTACTAATAACTAAAGTCATGATTGGCGTAATTTATCTATCTTTGCTAACTACGAATACAAAACTAAAATTTAATAAAAAATAATGTACTTACTTTTCTCCAGCACTCTCAAACAAAATAACACTGACTCACTATAATTTGTGTGATATACTATCTGTTTATATTTTTTAAAATATTTTCTTAGCACTTTCCTTTTCAAGATTCAGGAAACAAATAAACGTATTTGTCCCACATTCGTATTTATAGAGTGACGAATTGAACAAGTCAGTGCAAGGTAGCGAAGCTCTGAGTTTGCGACTCTCAGGTTTTTACAAGTTCAAAATGTATTGCGACCACAAAGCGAATACCAACATCCTACAACTTACACAATTTTATAAACATATATAATAAATTTTTTACTTCATAGGTACTTTTATAAATAATGTATATGTTTTGATATTATAAGATAGTATGATGTAAGTAAATAGGTACTATCAGTGTATGTGTTGAGATCCACTAACGTGGACCCCCATATTCATTTCATGGCACCCCATATTTTTTTTTCGCTGACGTAGACCCCTTGCAGGTTGTCATAGACCCCTAGGGGTCGATATACACCACTTTGGAAATCAATGCTCTAAATTATAAGAATATAACATACACTGTATAGTACTGAGAAAAGTAGATGTGAAACTGTAAAAAATCGTTGTTTTTGCAAAAAAAGGTTCAAAACCAGACGTATTATTACACATTAGGCTATTATCTTAAATAACAGATCAAAATGCATTCGTAAATGATGGTATTTACTTGGTAAACTGTGTAGAGCTGTTGTTTTGTGATTTTTCAATGCCTTTTTGAAATTCGTTAACCATTTTTTTCGCGTATTTTGGATGAGATCAAACTTTTTGCGTTTATAAGAAATATTTGAAAGTACAAACAATCCTCAATGGCCATTTTATAACGCTCATTTCTTGACAGATAAGATAAAGTATGTCCATTGTTGCCAAGTTGTACCTTTTTGGGAGAAATACGTAATTAGAAATGAGGTTATTTGCAAAATAAAAGTCTTAATTTATTGTAAATGGCTTGTTTTATGAAAAGTCGTCCCAATATTTACCGATTTCTCGATTTGGACCATCTCACCAGGCCCACCCAACATATCATCGTCCAACATTACAGTTAAATAATGATCATCGATCATTTCATCAAATTATCAAAAAACTTGCATGTTCTTTGTTATGTTTTCATTGTTTAGTGATTTGCAACAGCTACTTT